AAAAAAAAAGTATTACTAGAAGGGGCGTGGGGGGGCGGAACCAAAAAATTTTCTGGGAGGGCGGAACACCAAAAAGAAATTATTTTTTTTCCGGCTTATAACAAAATTTATCCACCCTCGTCTCTTTTTTTAACTCCAACCAAAAAAACCAAAAAATTTGAGTGGTATAAAAAAGCCGGGGGGGGGGGGGGGGATGGCGGACCCCTGCACCCTCCCCCCCGTGGCTTTATAATACAACTGATATTATTGGTTTATTGGTGTTGAAGTAAAACACTGAGACGAGGTTGAATAATTTATGTCAAACGCCGTAAAAATGATAGTTCCTTAGTGGTGTACCGCCTCTCAAGAAATTTTCTGGATCCGCCCACGCAGAGCCAGTTTATCTAATACTTTTATTCTCAGTGCAACGTTTTATTGATTAAGTGTGACGTAAGTCAAAGAATTGTAGAACAATTGACAAACATTGCTTGTAGGGTTTTATAGACTGTGTTTTGTTTGTGGTAGTGACTTAACGGTCTTTGCCGTTTAAAGGTGATATGTACCATAGAAGTTTAATAAAATGTGGTTTCATGGGATATTTTCCCGTCTTTAATACATGTTTGCGCTTAGTACCCAAGCACTTGAGTGAGTAGGTAAACGAGGCTAGAATTGACTTCTTTTTTAAACAACCCAGCCTTGCTTTTCTGGTGGAAATTATGTATGACAAGTGTAAATTTGTCAATAGTTATACGAATGGGTACCTTTTCTGCCAAAAACGGTACATAAAAGGGTCAAGAGAAATAAACTGCAAAAACCGTGAACCAAGATCCTGCGGGTCGTCAACATTGGATCACAGACGAAATCTCATTAGCTACAAATATTTGAAACAAAGAAACGAGAAGTCCAAGACTACAGCAAAGCTGAACAACGTGCATTTTAAACGCGTTTAACGATATTCCGGCTAGCCAGTCCAGTCTTTTTCAGATTTACAGATCGATGTTCCCATAAAATCTAAGCACTTTCTCATAAAATGGGAATTTTAATTTCTTAGTTGAGATATACTTCAAAATTTGCCTTCACACAAAATTCGTGGCGCGCGTCTTCAAAGGAGGGCGCTTAAATGGGTTCGAAGTAGAAGCTTTTTTAAAGATGGCACTAAATGCTTACAGGCAGGAGCCGCTCCTGTTTTGCGATTTTCGCTATTCTTTTTTCACGATTAACAAGAAGACAACAAAACAAAACAAAATTCTGGAAAATTTTCTCCACTGAAGAACACTGGTGTGAAAAAGAAAATGCCGGTGAGAACTCGGAAGATAAAAAATCAAGGGGTACATAATTTGTTTAGCCCTTATCGCTACCAGCACTTCGCCGACAGCGTAAGACTGTGTTTTCAACAAACATTGTTGAATGGCTGTTTCATAACTTTACTTTGTCGTTTTGACCCAAACACGGCGATCAGCCCCCAGAATAAAAAAAGGTACTGAAAAACGGACCTTTTATACCATTGCGCAAATCAGTGGCGAAATTAAGTTAGAGCTGAAGAGGGGAGACCGGGACCAGGGTCTGACATAAAGGTAGCAGAGAACAGGAGCGAACTGGCAACTGGTCAAAAATAGACTCGATTACCGGCCGTTGTTCACGAAATAAGCCCTTGCTCCTCGGAAATTGGGCCTGGTGAAAACGAAATTCTTCTTTTAATTTCATTTTCAAATAATCCTGAGTGTAAACAGAACAGGAGCGCCAATGTGAAAGATACTTGCCAGGAGTATAACTATGCTTCCATTTACCCCACATATACGGGTTTTCCTATTTCCGTCCTTTTTGTTTTTGAACACTTTGCAGCCTAAAGAAACGGCTATGAGAACTTTCTAGTACTGAAAACTGAAAAACTCTTAAGTTAAGTTACAGCGCAGGTAATAAATTATCACGCTGTCGCCAACCTATGAAACTTTCAGTAAACAAAACGGTAACGTTAGCTTTGAAGTTCTTCAATGACTTTTTGAGAATATCTAGAGTTTTTTTTTAAAACAAATGTTTGCTATTCATCAGAGAAGTAATAATCATTATCTTCCTCTGCTGAGTCGTGGTCTGAAGCGGGATGAGCTTCAAATAACTCCGAGTTTACCACGGGCAGATGGCTGCTGGAGAACGCTGGTTTCTTTGGCGTTGACGTCCTCATCTGCGACAAGAAAAAAAAGGCAAAATCTCTGTCTTTTAAAATCAAGAAATTTTTCAAAACGGATTTCACTATAAAAATCAATGTTACTGAACAAATAATGCGACCCGATCACTATCTTGACGCTATCGTTATAAACTGACCCTGAGTACTGGTCCGGTCTAGGAAATCGCGCCCGCGAATTTTCGCCCTGCAGACCAGCGCTGCCATAAGTAATCAAAGGGCAGATGACAGCGTCGCTTGTAAACGAAACATTTTTCAGTCTACCTTTGCTTTTGGCTTTGCATGTGCTTGTGTTCCTCGCTTTCCTTGTTGCATTCTATAGATGTAGTGATCCATGTCCTTCCTGAAATGACATTAACAAATTTTTAGTACTATCATGTCATGAACAGGAATCGCGCAAGTAATTTCGTGAGGGCCATGGTGATGGTTCCTACCCCACCCTACCCCACACGATCCTAACCTAAGTGATTGGCGTAAGATGTTTTGAATCAATTTTCAAACCAGTCTTGACCGTCTCACTTGTCGCATTTTCCCGCCTTCTACGCCGGCTACAAGTATTTGCTTTAAGCCCTGATCTATCGGATTGTCGATATTAAGTTATTGTGATCGGCCAGAAAGAAATCATGGTTTTATGACAGTCAGTTGGAAATGAATGAAACATTCCTAAAAACACACAGAACGCAGCATGCGTAGCAAATCTTTCTGCGCACGTAACAAAGAGAGGAGAAGCGCGAAGCTTTTCCTCACATCCATCTCTTCGTCGATGAAGAGTTTTGCTTCCTTCTGTAGTTCTGTAACACTGGGTAACCAGCCTGGTTAGCGACAAGTTAAACTGCAATTAAGACAACCAAACACACAGACGCACGAACAAAAATACAAACCGGTTGACTTGCTGTAACAGACTAGGGCTGATGAACTCTGAGCTGGGGGTGGTTGTAGTCGTCAACGGACCCAACGGTCTGAATCGACTGCTAGGTGTACGGCTACTTGGAGTCTTGTGGGACATGCCGCGCTCAGATTCGCTTTCTTCCTCCTCTTCATCGCCATCATCACCAGCTTCATCACTGCTGTTACTGTTCAGGTTAAACGGGAGCTGAAACATTTTAAATAGAGTATATGCTCACTGACACGTGAAGGCCTTACCAGGGGGCCAATTTAATAAAACTTTGACAATTGTACATTATAATTGTGGATATTGTTTTCATACTCTAAGGCAACAGCAACACTTGTAAATTACAATTGTAAAAGTTTTATTACATAGACCCTAGTAGGCCGTTTCTGAGTTTCAAAAACTCTCACCTTTAAAATGAGGCTAAGTGCAAAATCTTTGCTGCGAAAATTAGTTTTATTTGTCTGAGAATAAAAATCATTTACATGTCAATGGCTTTACACTTAGCCTTGCTTTGAAACAGAGGCTTGAAGCAACTCGAAAATGGCCTACAGTCTATTTTCCAGCTACAGGTGGAAACCAGGCTTACACCAGGCTGGAGTTAACCTTGTTTTGATGCAACACTTCCTCCTTTATAATGTTAATCATGTCGTTCTCATCCTAACTAGTATTTTAAGAATAATTTTCATAAGAAAAGTAAAGAGGCTTTAATCAAAACAAGGTCAACATAAGCCTCACGTTCACTCAAAGGTTAGCGTACTAACGTCATGCCTGTGAAATAGTTTATTAGCGGAAGTCGAAGAATGAAAGGCTGAGAGAGAAAAGGAGAGAAAAAGAGCTGAGAAGATTTCATCTGAATAGCAGTT